ATGTGTACTTATTCCTTAAATCCTTTTAATCCCATTTAATCTGTAAGTATGATACTGTTTTCGAATTTATATGTTTTTACTCATTCATATGGTTCTTTGTTAAATACTTATAATTTTAATGTATAATGTTGTTTTTGAATTTATATTTTTTTTATGTTGTGTTTGTTTCTTGTTTCCATCTTTTTAATCTGTAACTATGATTATATTTTCAAAAACAGTAAACTCAATGTTAAACTTGGATGTTATAAATAATGAAATTATGATGTTACATGTGTGTATACCTTTGTGAAAAATCTATGTTAAACTTGGCTACTTTTGTACTAAATGGGTATATAATGAAAATCAAGTTTTTTTTTTTGTTCTTTTATCTGTTTAGCATCGAAGCAATAAGAAAACATTGTTTTTTTTAATTCATCTTGAATAACCATTTAATAGCTGTATGTAAAAGATAAAAGATACGAATATTCAGAAGTTAAGACCACAAACCTTACTCAAACGTCTTCAAATATCTAGAAGTAAGCATTCATTTTTCCATTATTTTATCATTACCATAAAATAAAAAAGACATCCACATGTGTTTAAGTTGTTTAATTTGTCTCATAATAACAAGTATGTTGTGTGCCAATTCTATCTGTTGACATTTTCAATAAGTTGGTCAATATCTAAATCGGACAAACATAACTATTTTTATATTTATTGGTTAGAGTTTCCTCTTGTGGAGGGTTTTATTTGGTTCATTTTAAAGGAACACATATAAGTTGCTATTTTTTGAAATAAACAGTTCTATTTCGCAATATAACCATAAAATAACAATGTATTTTGAAAGTACATTGTCAAATGTTGGATTATACTTGCGTAGACCCATTTTCATGGATTGTCGGTTATATGTAGTTGTTTACCTTGTCACAAGTAAAAAAATGTTTGAAGGTATTCATATGTGACGAGGAAGGTCGTTCAACTAATAAAACAAAAAATATAATCTATAAAGAGGTCCTTCAACGACTATATATATTTATCGATTTTAATGTATTTTTTATACATTTCAATAATACCAATAACACTGCTTTTTTATAATTATTCTGCAATATCTATATAAATTTGTATTTTATTTATGCATTTCTCAACGTTTAACACGGGTCATAATCTAGTTAAAAAAATATAATTTAACTAAATTTAGAAAAAAAATAAAAAAATATATGGAATACAGTATTACCATTTCCTATTAAATGCTAGGAATTAGAAGACCAAGACAAAAAAATAATAATCATCGCATTAAAAAAATGACATGACAAATATTGTTACCCCTCCATCTGGTGTTAGCCTATACAACATTTATCATACAAATGTCTTTTTTTCGGTAATTATTATTTTGACATAAAGGGGTCAAACAACAATCATAAAAGAAAAAAATATTAATGTTGCACCATGCTCGTATAATCTGATCGTTTGATTCGCACCAGACTATGAAAATAGGTGCCCTAAATTCGCACAAATTCACACAAAATTTCTGATTTTTTTTCAAGAAAAGCAAATCATCATTAAGAACAACGAAATTGCAGAAATGCCTACGAAAACATGATTATTCATTTGTTTTTTGACAATTTGCAAAACCCTAAACAGAACCATCATTGAATCAAAAAAGATGAACACACATGAAAGATCAGGAAATAATATGCAAAGCAATCAGAGAACTTTGAAGGTTATATAAATGAATTCAACAATTAAAATTCAGATTAAAGTTTCTCATCACTTTGCATTTGCTTCTAGTATCAAGATCTAACTGAGATAAAAAGAAGGGATTAATTGTGATTTTGGCAAAACAGAATCGAACTGCATAACGTTCGATATATACAAATAGATTTTTACCAAAAGCTATATTTGATTTAGCACAAATAATACCCTTTGATCTCGATGATTCCTCACAACTATGAGCTTCAAGTTGAAAGGGGCTATGTCGTGCAAATAACTACACTTTGACATACTTAATCGCCGAGTTTGAGATTTTGTTGAAGAAAGTAGATGCGGCTGCGAGATTTTCAGTCGTATGCTGAAGTGATTTTATACAGGCGTTAGTTCTAGACATCTAGGGTTTCAAAATGCTACGTCGTCGTTTTAACTCATGTTGAAAGAAAGTGGGTGTTGGCTGTGAATAAAATGGGCAGTTGTCTTTGGGGAATATTAAACCTTTTTTTTTTTTTTTGTAACTTACGCAAATGCTCTACTTTTGTCTAATTCTTTGTTTTGGTCTTGATAAAAAAAAATTGGTATGTTTTATCTTTGTGATCGTAAAAGTTACACCAATTGAGGAATCTTACTTGGTTATGATTGGAAACTCATATCGCCTTCGTGGAGCTTTATTTCGGTTTTAATTTTCCGATCATCATAGGTGTTTTTAGGGTGTACGAGATGGACAACCATACAAGGCTCATATCGTGGATGTGACCAATTTTACATATGATTCAATCTATTGTCCAACAATCAACAATCCAATAATCCAAAGACAAAAGGTCATGTTTTGTTCTCATTCAAGAAGAGCTCGCATTGAAATTAAACATTGCAACAAGAGATCACATTTTGTTCCAATTCCAAAATTTCAAATTTGCAGCAACTACAAAGTTCAAACAATGTTTCTTGTTTCTCGGTTTTCTGATTTCACTAAACTCCACCTCTCATTTATGGTTGCATTCTTGACTGTCGAATGAAATTACACACGTATTCCATTATTCATGATTTTTGAATTTGATAGCCTATTTTTCTTTATATTCTAGTTGTTGTCGTTGATTAGTGATTAGTGATTACAGAGCCAAGCACACTATCATGAATTCTGAATTTGATTTTAGTTTTGAGTAATTTGAAATTTTTCCCCAATTGCTAAGGGTGTGTTTAGTTGCGGAAAAATGAGCCGTTTTCCGGAAAAATTTTCCAAGAAAAATGAGAATTTTGAAAACGTGTTTAGTTATTTTTCTAAATTTTTCACGGAAAATGAAAATTATCGGTTTCTAAAATTACAAAGAAGTTGGAAATTTTTGGAAAACCAATAATCATTGTTTTCCATATCTTTCTAATTCCAAAATTTTTCTAAAATATAAACACACACCCACTCCCATCCCACCCACCTCTACTTACCCCCACCTTAACACCCCCAACCCACCACACCCCTACATACGCACT